TGAGCTAGTTGTGCCCTTGTGAGCCGAATTGCTTACTACCATCCGCCATGAACGGTATAATAATAACCCTGAACCAGTTAATATCCGTTCGCTTGAGAAAACCAGAGTAATCAGAACGGCGTTATAGGTTATAGCTCGGTATCACCATGGGCTATTTGCAATCTGAAATGTGATCTGAGTTAAAGTTATATTCTACTCCCTCCCTCCCATAATATAAGATGTTATTACATCCAATATATGAGTATGCAAAACACTATTAGTGATACATCTACATCAATTTACAAAGGAAAAGAACATGGTTGTTATTTGCTTATCAGTGGAAATTTTGTATCATCTGTTTATTCTTCATTGTGTGATATGTTGTTCATTGGTGCGGTTCTCTTGTTCTCTTGGTCTTCAGCCAAATAAGAACCATGTGGTGTCTCTTTATTTCCAGTTATCACCATGTTTGTACTTTGCAATACGATTGTGGATTTGGTGTGGCCGTGTGTGGGAGATTCGTTTGAACCTGAAAACCCTATGGACTTAATGTATTGCTAACAATGTTTTTCTTTCTTTCTGTAGAGCTTTGTAGATATGTATATGCATGCATTTTGTGTCCCTGTTGTGTCTGAAAATAAAACGCGACCTTGATTACTTTCTGCATGTATATCAATGGATCTGCTCCTTGCTCTATCAGGACGTAGATACTCCCTCCGTCCGAAAATAATTGTCATCAAAGTGGATAAAAAGAGATGTATCTAGAACTAAAATACATCTAGATACATCCCCTTTTATCCATTTTGATGACAAGTACTTCATCTGTAAAGAAATATAAGAGTGTTTAGATCACTAAAGTAGTTATCTAAACGCTCTTATATTTGTTTACAGAGGGAGTATTTCCGGACGGAGGGAGTAGTTTGTTTGAATCACCGCTGTTGTTGCTTCCTCTGTTGGGGGAGTAGTTCCATCAAGATTGTAGTGCGACTTCTCAAAAAAGAAGAAGATTGTACTGCGGCTCTCCAAACAAAATCTCGTCATTTGTCAAGTTGTTTACTTATTGTATCTCCCTTTCAGAGACAGTTAACTGATCACAGATACCTGAACATCATGCGTGCATATTTACGTCCAGCACCAAAGACGGTGCTTGGGCTTCACTGCATGCCAACGCTTCCACCGAGGCATGGCAAGTCAGATAGTCCCTGTAAATTGTCGCATTGATACCGGCCTTGCGGATCCGGCACCAGAACAAACCATACCGATCGAGCCATCAAGACGAACACAAATGTCCTGAACACGGGGAGCATGGCGCGATCTGTCTGTCCCAGTCCTGGCAAGTAATCGTCGCCGCGGCATTCGAACTATTGGTGATGCGGTTCTCTAGTTATTTTAGTGAAGGTGCTGCTCGAGCACCCAGTCTCGAGTTCCGGGCAAAAGCCTAAGGCTGACATGTGTTGTTTGTGCAGAGGTCATATGTTTGCTCATTGTGCTTGTATCCTTTTGATACTTCATTTTAAGCTAATAGAATCCACCCTTGATCGAAAAATGTGCATCATCGGTTCGTTTTGTCTTTACAAAATCTCCGCTGGCCAGGTCTATTGGCACTTGGCAGGGAAATTTTTTTATATGAAACCAGGTCTCATGGTTAACAGGTGAGACCCAGCCTGATGTATGACATGTCCATTCACAAATCACAAAACATTTAATCTCTTCCACCTAATTTCAGGTGGGAGGTGGGGTAGATGCTTTGTGATTTGTGAATAAGACACGTGTCATCCATCAGAATGGGTCTCACTTGCTAACCCGTGAGACATGGTCTCATAGAATTCTTTTCCACTTGGCAGACGCGATCGGGGCGTGTGCTCACTTTTTTTCTCCCAAAACGGCCGCGTACCCCCACACTGGGCTTTGCAAAATCAACCTGTCAGGCCCATCGACTTCGGCCCTACAGCAACTACAGCCCCCACTGCCCTCTCCTCTGCTCTCTGATGCCAAATTGCCAATCCCGTTCCAAGTGAGAATCCAACAAAGAGCTCACCGTCACCTCAAAAATCAAAAAATAAAAAGAAAATTAAAATCAGACGAGTTACCGGCGCTCGTACGCAGGCACCAGCCAGACTCGTCGGCCGTGCTGGCGGTGGCGTGGAGACGAGACGCCGCCGTCGTGCAACCAGGGCACGGGGAGCCAGTGGACCTGACGGCGCGCGAAACTCCAGGCGGCGGAGTGGGCGAAGGCGAGGGCGATGGCGAGGAGATGGTCTCGTCGACGTCCAGCCGCCGGGCGATTACGACGAGCCGGATCACTTCATCAACCTCGTCTTAAATCTGAAGGCCTCCTCCGTTCGCTGGAAGCTGGGAAGAGCGCCAGGACCCAGGCCGGCCCGCCTTACCGAAAAAGGGTTGCCCCCCCGCTTTATATTATAAAGCCACGACCACACGATACAAATGTTGGGGCCACAGCACAAGCAAGCCCAAAAGAAACAAAAAAAGAACTGAAGAGAAAATAATGCCAACAACGGCAGATCAACGAAAACGATGAGGACCCGCAACCGCCGCGCCCACCGGAAAATACCACCACGCTCCTAGCATTCCGGACCGCCGCATACCAAACAACACCCTCAAGAGGGATCGCGACGATGACGACGCTGTTGCCCGGACATGTCCTAGGGTTTCCCCCGGTACGCGAGGGGTGAGGTGGAAGGGGTATGCCCGACGCCCTTCAGGAAGGCACGGCGGCGCCCACGAGCGTCACCGCGTCGGTGCCGGCCCGGCCGACAAGGATTTCTCCCGACCACCAACCAACCACGACCCCAGACAATCCATCCCACGCCACCAAACACACCGCCCACCAACTTGCACCACCACGGTCGAGCAGTCTCCATCGCCGTCTCACCATGGCAAACGAAACGGGACCGACGGAAACAAGACGACGCAACCGGGAACCAGGAGCGGCAACATCAGCAGCCTCGCGGGAGGGAACATCCTCCACCGCCCCTGGCGGGATCCGGCCGGACGCAGCACAGGGGCAAACCGGGCCACCCCTGGCCCAGCCGAGTCCGAGACGGGCTCGCGAAGCCCCCGTCGCCGCGCCAGGCCGGCCCGCCTTCGCCCGCCCGTCAGGTGCTTGCGTTTATTCCCATTCCGTTCCACTGCGTCCTGATACCGGCCTGCGTACCTAGCTGGATGAATTAGCCAGCTAACTAGAACTGCCGGAGTGCTTGACCTCGATTATAAGTAGGATGGGAATTGTAGAGCGTGCTTCTTTCATCACCAACACTCAACAGAGCTGTTCGGGTTCGAGATTTGGATTCTCTCACTGGTGAGTGCATACTGTAGTAGGACGGGAAGAGCTAAAGGGAGGGAAGGTTTGATTGATGAGCTGCACTGGGCGTACTTGAGCATTTAGGAGTAGCACATTATGCATGAATATTACGGAGCTGCAATGGCGACGGCCTCTACTATATGATTCAGGGATGGCAAAAGGAGATAATGGAGTTATGGAGTTATTATTGACTTCAGGGGAGCCGTGTTGATGGGGATGTAAGCGGACTGCGTCCGCATGTCGGCAAACAGAAAAATCCAGCTAACATGATTATTAAAGTAACGAGAATTGGTGCAATTTTTTGCTTCACGGGCAGATGGGGACGGCGCGGCCGCGCGGACACATCTGCCTGCATCCCTAGTTCCCTACGCGTTGATGAACAGTAAGAAGACGACTTCCGACGACTTGAGTTGCTAATGGTATGGGCGTGTCTGGCCGTGAAGCCCAACGGAAAACTTAGCTTTCTCTAATCCATCCAGACCATCCAATGGTTCTTCAAGCCATCAAGACTGTCCAATTATCTGTGTGAATTGAGTGGCAGGCAGCTGCGCATCCTTTTCCTCTCCACTACCTCTCCTCTACTTCCAATAAGATGGAGATGGAGCTCTCTTCAACCGATTACTGAGTGAGAGCCGGAGACAGCAGGCAAAAGCCAGAGATGGGTACCTCAGGTGCTGCGGAATGGTGGGAGGAGTGGCAGCTGCGTGTCCTCGTCCTGGGCAGCCTCTTCGTTCAGTGGCTCCTCTTCCTCTCCGCTGCCTACCGTAAGCATGCTATCCCTTCCTGGTTCAGATCCATAATATGGCTTGCGTACCTAGGCAGCGATGCCCTGGCAATATACGCCCTTGCCATCCTTTTCGGACGCCAGAGGAGGCAGGATTGCAGCTCTGGGCAGGGCAATAGTATACTGGAGGTGGTGTGGGCGCCGGTTCTCCTGACGCACCTCGGTGGACAGGACTGTATATCTGCGTACAACATTGAAGACAACGAGCTATGGACACGGCATGTCGTCACGGCCGTGTCCCAGATCACCGTAGCCATCTACGTGTTCTGCAAATCGTGGCCAGGCGGCGACAAGAGGTTGCTGCAGGCAGCGATCTTGTTCTTTGTCCCCGGGATCCTCAAATGCATAGAGAAGCCCTGTGCTCTCAAGAGCGCTAGCATTAACAGTCTAGTCAGCCCTTGTCCGAGGAGGACCACAAACAGAGAAAGCCGGATAAACTCGCTTGAAGACTATGTGGAAGTGGCAAGGGCTTTTGTCCAGACCAACCCTCATCGTCAAGCACAAGAAAGTGATGGAGTTCACCTTCAGGCTGACACCCATGTGCCTCAAGCACAAGGAGAAGATGAAGCACTGGACCTTGAGGCCGATCATCAACCTGGAGCACAAGGAGAAGCTGCTGTGATGGATCTTGAGTCTGACAGCCACCCTCAGACATCAAGCATATGGAGAAGTTGCCTAAACCAAATAAATGTAAAAATGAGAAGCCTCGGAAACCAAGAAAGGGAACAAAGAAGCCGACTTGATGACTATAATATGGATCTCGGGGCCTATAAGCTGTTTCTGGACCTTGCATCACCGTATTCTGATCGAGTTGGTATCCTAAAATCCTTCTGGGTGCTCGAGGGAAAACAAGCATATGCTTTGTTGCAAAACAAACTATTTGGAGCATTTGATCTTCTCTACACTTAAAGAAAGATGTTCATCTTATGGGATGAAAGAAGCAAGGTAAACGTAAGTATCTTGGGGCTTCTTTCTAGCTGGTTACGGGGTTCAGCTCTGCTTCTGCCATGGGCTGCCATCGGCCTCTTCCACAATAGTCACAGTGAAGCTTATAATGCTGACGATGTCAAGGTTACATATGCCTTATTCTACTGTACAGCCGTGCTGGAGTTTTTCAGTATTTCTTTGATGAGAGAAAGTATTGCAAAGGGTCAAGTGAAATTCAATTTGGAATCTCTGCTTGCTGGCCTTATTGGTAGCCTACTAAGTGCTCCGAGTAATGAGGTACTGGAAACTAGCTTTGTAGGCCAATATACACTGGTAGGATTCTTTGCTCGCAACAAAAGGCACATCAAGAAGATGTGCATCGTGAACTTCTTCAATTGCAAAGACTTTCTTGACCAACATTGGTCCATGAAGCCCTGCAACACATCTTTTGCCATTACAGAATTGGTTCTTAAGTATGTGAAGAACGGGTGGGAAGATCAAATGAAGGATGTTGACAGTTATTGGAAGTTCAATGACCGCAGAGGCCTATGGACACTTCAGGCCAACAAGTGCGAGCAAGACCTCGGTTGCAGCATGAGGAGGCCATTCGACGAGAGCATCCTTCTCTGGCACATCGCCACAGATTTCTGCTTCTACTTCATGGGAGCATCAGCAGATCACCGGTGTGCCACTGCTCAATGTATTCAAGATGCATCTGGTGATGGCCATGGGTGTCCTGTTTGGTGTGAAAGATCTCCTCATCACAAAAGAGCCATCCGGTGCAGGGAAATGTCCAATTACATGATATATCTACTGTTTGTCAATCCTGAGATGCTACTGGCCGGCACCAGAAGACATCTTTTTATGACCGCTAATGCTGAAGTTGAGGAGATCCTCATGGATGAGAAGCCATCGCTCAAGAAGATTTTAAAGGCCAAAAGTCCATGGCTCATGGACATCCTAAAAAGAGAAAAGCAATGGCTTAAAGACATCCTGACGGAAGAAAAGCAACGGCTGAAAGACATTTTCAGTAGCGAAGATTCACTTCCATGGAAGGTTCTCAAGGGCGTGTCGAAGTGGATCCTCAGCAGCAAAGGCTCACTTTGCTGGAAGGTTAGAAACGGCCTGTCCAAAGAGATCTTCAAGGTTGAAAAGGAATGGCTTGGGAAGATTGAAAGAGAACTCGTGCAGATAATAATCTCCAGGGTGCAGCCCACAGAATGCAGAGAAGTTTCTGAATGCACAGAATTGCCTCCGGATGCAGAGATATATCCAACTACGCAATTTATCCATGATGCATGGAAGCTCGCTAAAGCGTTGTTGGATCTAGGTGATGACAACAAGATGTGGGGAGTTATTCAAGGCGTGTGGGTGGAGATGCTCTGCTTCTCTGCAAGTAGAGGCCGTGGGTACCTACATGCCAAGAGTTTGGGCACCGGTGAGGAGCTTCTCACGCATGTGTGGCTCCTGCTGTCCTGCATGGGGATGGAGACCTTGCCGGAGAGGCTGCAGAGGACGGACCTTTCAAGTGGAGAAGGAAACGCCGGTGCTACTCCGTCGACTTCACAGGTCAGCACCTGCCAGTATTAAAACCATTCTTTGAACGATGATGCTTGCGGTGATGGAGACCATTTCTATTTTGCATTTCAATTTTAGTTTTCTGTACCATCGGCATTTCAAGCTCTGTCGCTTATTTGCTTATACATGAAGTTTTGGAGATATTATAACTATGTGAATACGTGATCTACCAGATATATGGGATCCAGTATCCAGCACGCTTCAGGCGCTTAGATCACATGAAGAAGAAGCTGCAGCTGCTGGCGCATCGGCCTCTCAACCCCAAGAAATACTACCAGCTGATTAGTCTGAGAAACTATATCCTTGTATTGATTATGCATCGTGATAACCCCGTGTCTATTACCCATCTGCCGTCCGGTTCCTTTATCTCTTGATTAGCAGCAGCTGTTCCTTTCTGCAGAGTTTAATGAACTGGTCCAATTTGACGCCTAGCACTTTGTTCTTGTGCTATTAGAACTGCCAGATTACCTGTTATCTCTACAATGATGATGTCTGTACGTAGTATGCAAGATTACCTCTGATCGCTTCAGTGATCATGTCTGTATCATGGATTCTAGATTACTCCACGGACGCCTCGGTGCTAAATTCTGTAGCCTTGGTGTGATATCATTTGATTACTCGAACAATTGTTTACCCTGTTGTGTAATAATGTAAAACTACCCAAAGGCCAGAATGCTCAATATCCATGATCTACCAGATATATACATGGAGGGGATGGAAAGGAAAAATAATTGTTGCTGCTGCTGTTGCTGCTGCATTTGCCTCTTGACCCCAAGAAGTACCAGCTGAAATAATCTGGGAAAGGAAATAATCCTGTGTCTGTATCAGCAATCTGCCGTTTGATACCTTCATTTTCTTGGTATGAAGCTGCACTTTTGTGCAGAGCTTAATGCCCTACAGTCGTGTTCGTCTGTTGTTACAACTGCCAGTCGACCTCTTATACTTCTATAGCGAGCATGTCTGTAGCACCGGTCCCCCGTGTTAAAGTCTGGTAAATGTGCATCAACAAGATAGATATCTATGATCAGCATGACAGGAACTATTGGCTACAGTCCAGAAAGTATACGCCATCTAAATAAAGCTACCGATCAGTTAACGCCATCTAAATAAAGCTACAACATGCCAATGAGCATATCTAAAGCTATTCAAAATTTCAAATTTAAAAAGAGATAAAGTAGCAAAGAGCTAGCACCTGAATAGAGGAAGCGGACCGCTTCGGAACAAATAAATAGAGGAAGCGGCAGGGAAAGGAGCTGTTGTGCTGCCGGTTGGCCGGTCACACAGACTGCATCAATTTTATGTCATATATGAATTATTATTGTTTCTCCGGTTCAAATTTTATGTCATATATCAACTAGAGGGAATTATTCGTTCCCGTTGTTGGTATAATTTTGTTTCAATAGTAATATTTTCTATTTGAAAAATATTAATATTTACCGAATCTTTGTTCCTAAGAGATCTGTGAACATTTTCGAATATACATATGGACATATTTTATACACGGTGAGTATATATTTCAAGAAAAAGGTATTCCCACATGAATCATTCTTTATCTTGCAAAAATACTTTTACATGTGATGTGAACAACTTGACAAACATGCACATTACATGATAGTTTCATAGATGCCCGAACGTATCTTTTTAAAATGCACATGCAAGTATTTTTATCTGACGAGTTAACTTTTAGAATTTGTCTCAACATATTATCTGACATAGATGAACAATTTTTTTTAGCAACCATGCATAACAAGTTTCTTTAAAAGTTCGTTTGGAAATGTTTCTCGCGAGAAGCATATATAAGCACCTGTAGAGTGTTGTACGTAACATTAAGAAAGAGGTTTGATAGGGTTGAGGCTCCGGATGGCTGGTACTGGTAGGCAGTCGGTGTCATGAGTAGAGCTATTATTGACTGGCGAGCGCAAGCCAACAAAGCTCCCAGCTCCGAGCCAAGAAGGGTACTGGCACTTGAGAGCCCAGTGGCGTCGTCGACGAACATGAAACGTTTTTATCTTTCAAAACTAATTTTACACGTGATGTAAACATTTACTTGACAAACATGGTCATTTTTCTAATACAGATGATTGTTTCATAGTAGATGCCTAACCGTATCTTCTCAAAATGGTAATGCAAATTTTTTTATCCCCATGAGTTAACTTTTAGAATTTGTCTTAACATATTTTCTAGCATAGATGAACAAGTTTGTTTTTAGCTAGCATAACATATTTTTAAAAAGGTCGTTTGCAAATGTTTCTCGCGAGAAGCTTATGTAAGCAAGTGTGGAGTGTTGTACGTAACATTAAGAAAGAAGTATACTGTGTATGATAGGGTTGAGGTTCCGGATGGCTAGTACTGGTAGGCCGGTCGGTGTCATGTGTAGAGGTATTACTGACTGGCGAGCGCAAGCCAACAAAGCTCCCAGCTCCGAGCCAAGAAGGGTATCAACTACTTGAGAGCCCAGCGGCGTCGTCGACGAACATGAGGAAGACGACTTACGACGACTTGGACCATATAGCTTTCTCCAAGCCATACAGACCACCCAAAAGCCATCCATACTGCCTTCTCACTTGAGCCTATATATGAACCCGTCGATCGAACTATCTCACTCTCACTTGAGCACCTTCCTTCTCCCGTTCTCCCTCTCCTGGTAAATTGAGTAGGTGGCTGCCGCATATTGGCATGGGACTCTCAAGTGCTGTGGCATGGTGGGAGGAGTGGCAGCTGCGCATCCTCGTCCTCATCAGCCTCTTCATCCAGTACATCCTCTTCTTTTCCGACTATGTTCGTAGGGTTCCTGTCCTACGCAGGTTGAGAGTGCTGGTGTGGATCGCATATGTAAGCAGCGATGCCGTGGCGATCTTTGCCCTTGCCACCCTCTTCAACCGCCACAGGCACACTTGTGATGAGGAGGGCAGCAACCTGGAGGTCCTTTGGGTGCCTGTCCTCCTAATCCACCTTGGTGGCCAATCAATGATATCTGCCTACAGCCTCGAAGACAACGAGCTATGGAAACGACATATAGTAACCCTTGTGTCTCAGGTCACGGTCGCGTTGTACGTCTTCTGCAGATGGTGGTCCGGCGAGAAAACGCAGCTGGCGGCAGGGGTCGTGCTCTTTATTTTTGGCGTCCTCAGATTCGCTCAGAAGCCATGGGCCCTTAGGATCGCCAGCTTCAACAGCCTCCAGTCCAGCACGGTGCCCCTGAGAAGGGGGCAAAGAGAATATACGCCTACGGAATATGTAGAAGCAGCAAAGAGGTGCGTACTGGACACGAAGGTAAATATTGAATATAAATACAATATGGATTGCATGTTCGTTGATCAGTCTGCTCCATACTCTGTTCGAATTGAAGGGTTAACATCTTTCCTGAAGCTTAAAGATAAGCATGCATACAGTGAGTTGCAGAAGGGGATATCTAATACATATGATGGCATGTACACCAGAGTTAGATCAGTTGTCACTGGACTTGGCATTAGCGAATTTTTTTTGTTTCCGCTACTAGCCTTGGCTTCTATTGTGCTGTTTGCCAAGAGCCACAAGGATGGTCAGAACGAAAAGGACATTAGGGTGACATACATCCTATTATGCTGTACCACCGTGTTGGAGCTCTTGTTTCCTTTCATGTTATTCTTATCCCTAGTAGTTCCATCTATCTATAAATTGATTCAAGATCCTGTCGAGGGGTGGCACGACATGGTTTCACAGCACAACATCATGTCCTTGTGTGTTCGCAAGAAGAAGCCCACATTCCTGATGAAGGTTGCTACCTTTGACTTTCTAAGGGAGCTGCTTAACCAACATTGGTATATTCAGAAAGTACCAATAGCCTACCAGATCACGGGTATGGTTCGCCGGCACATGGAAGTTGGTTGGAAGGAGTACATATGTGATGCTGCAAGTTACAGGAGCTTCAGTGCGCTCCGAGGTCAGTGGGCTGTAAGGATGCACCATCATCAGCTAGCTTGGAGCTTGAAGATGCCTTTCGATGAGAGCGTTCTTGTCTGGCATGTCGCCACAGACCTCTGCTTTTATCACCCTGACACATCCCCTCAATGCCGGCAAGGAGAAGCCACACAACACAGCAGGGAGATATCCAACTATATGTTCTATCTGCTTCTCATCCGTCCTGAGATGCTAATGCTTGGTGCCAAATCATATATCGTCACCTTGGCCAGCGATAAAATTGTGAAAAACAGCAAGGGACTACTCGAACCGACAGAAGAAAGTCTGGCGCGTGAGATCTTTAACTTGTCGCCCTCTGCACCTGATATGGTTTCCAATGCATGCAAGCTTGCCAAAGCGCTGATGGAGTTGGGTGGCGATGAGAGGTGGACTGTGATCCAAGGCGTGTGGGTGGAGATGCTCTGCTATTCCGCCAGCAGATGCAGGGGCTACCTGCATGCTAAGAGCTTGGGTGACGGCGGGGAATGCCTCACCTACATTTATCTCCTTTGGTCGTTCATGGGAATGGAGACACTGGCGGATAGGCATCACATGTCAGAGCCTCTTCCTTTCGATTCCCAAGGCAGACACGGTCAATCTGCAGAAGGTGACATGCCCTAGGCCATTGCCGCCCCCTGGGGAAACCATTGCTTGACAAATGGTGTTGATGCTGCCAGTGGAAGATTTTGTCTTGATTTCTTACTGGAATGTTGATTGGTGGTGTGGTGCTCATGTTCTCGAGCAGAATATAAGCATGTATGTGTCTGTATGTTTCTTGCTATAGCGTGTAGTAAGTGTAAGAATGGATTTCGTGAGACAATCATTTCAACATTTGATAATCCAACTGATGTATTAGTTTCTACCAAGCTCAAAACGTCATTGTTGTGTCTGTTCTTTAATTTCTTTTAGGTGGTGTTGCAATGTTTCCCCATCTTAAAACATAGTGCCGAATATGCAAAGGTCACAAAGATTCCTCTGAATTCAGTGGAATTTATAACTGTGTGATATACTCCCTCCGTTCGGAATTACTTGTCGTGAAAATGGATGTATCTAGAACTAAAATACGTCTAGATACATCCATTTCTGCGACAAGTAATTCCGAACGGAGGGAGTATATCAGACGTAGGGATGGAACATGTACTTGTCAACCTCAATAAATACCAGCAGTACAAGAGATTACATCTATTTATACATGAGAATATTAAGTATC